GAGCTATGACAGTTGTTCCACTGACTACCCCCAGATGCAGACAGACATGTCACTGAAATGCAGTTCTGACTATGGAGAAGTTAACCAGTCTTTGTCCTCTGCTTTAAGACACACTGTTATAAGCCTGACCAGATACAGACATGAAATCCCTTCTATCTCTGGCCAGCAGCCCCTAAGCTGTTGAAGCAATTGGATGTGTTTAGACTGAGCAGTGCAGAGCTGTGAGAGAGATCTCAAGCCATCAACTGGGACCAAGGACATTCACGGATATAAGCCTTGAAGCAGAAAGGGCACAGCAGCAGCAGGCCAGATCTGGGTTAGATGCATCCCCTCAGCTGTGCCACTGGTTGCATTGATCCCAAAGCTGGTGGGCTGAGCACTGCTCAGACTCTAGTGGAATAGGGCAAGGGAACAGGGCAATAAGGTGCTAAACAGCTGCTCAAAAGCACCATCATTACATAAAAGACCCTTCCAAATCCTGCCAAAACTGGAGCTTGTGACAGCATCAGATAGGCTGCTCTCTACCTCACCCACATAGCTAGGCTCCTCAGCCCCACCTCCAGCTCCCTGGGAAATGCTGCCCACCAGGAACCCAGCAGGTTCTGCTGCAGGACCAAGTTGTTCCTGGAGAGTTACAAAGAATCCCACTCCTCAACAAGCCTCAGCTGCACCTTAAGCAATTTATTAAGAGGTGATGATTTTGAAGCACTTAGATCAGTGAATCTAAATTGTGGGGGTTTTGGTTCTGTTCCAGTTCAGGTTCAGCAATTCTCAGCTGATCCAGTTAAGACCAGTGGCAGTCTAAACTGATTCATGTTGGAAGTTATAATATTTTCAAACAAAAAGGGCTGTGTACTGAAGGCAGGAAGCTACAGCCAGGCCAGAAACACTATGCCAGTCTCCTGTGTTCGGGACACCTTGTGGTCCTAGCCAAGCCCTGCACCTTCACAGAGGACTGGGGAATTAGAGAACTGTGTTGGAATGCAGGGAGCATGAAAAGGCACGAGGGGTCTGAAAATTCCATTAATTTCCTTTCCTCTTTAATGTGTGCCTGTGCAGGTCCTGCTCACCAGCAGGACACAGTGGTATGTGTACATGTTTCTGTGGCCCTAACCAAGGAGCTACCATCAGCTCCATGGGAGCCCAGAAGCTGGCGGTAAGAACAGACCCCGCCTCACCAAAGGAGGACAAGAAACTCTGTCCCACTAGCAGCAACTCAGTCAGGACTTATTTTCAGAACAAAAGCTCTCAAAAAGGTTTTTGTAGAGCCACCCCGTCCAACCCAGCACCATGGCACAGGAACAGGCACTCCAGCTGCACGTGCTAGCACAACATTTGGTGGGGGGAGACCACAATACAACAGTCCCTGTGCAGAGTGACTCCCTACTGGGGAACATCAGGTTTTAGTCAAAGCACTCTTTTAAACTGGCAACTTGAAATACTTCTGGCTTAGAAAAAACAGGAAAGATCAAAGAAGCAAGCAGAAAATTCCAAATGTGTTTCTTTGACTCGCTGGCTTATTGTTTTAGGGAAAAACCTGCAGCAGGTTTTGTAGTGATTTGTTTCTACACTGATGTTCATAATCTGGTTTGAGTGAAGTTATCCATGCACACTGTAACATAGGCACAGCTACATCCATTAAAAAAATTCTACAAGAGTAGAGTTTTATAATATGAACATCGCCTGCAGGAGCTGTACCTGCTCAGATACATCACTTGTGTGAGCAGAGAAAGCTTTGTGTAACCAAGTGGCAGGATACTACAGCAACCAGGGCATTTTAGCAATATGGGAGATGGCTCAACCCTTAAGCTTCTCCACTCTCCTAATTCAAAGGCACTCAGTGCCAAGTTTTCAACCCCATGTCTCTACTGGAATCACAAGCACCGTGACCAGACGCATGGCTGGTTTTCTGGTAGGGCTAGAAATTTCTTCTAGAAATTGAACTCAGGCCAACCAACTTATCAGAGCAAATTTTAGCTTCCAGCCACCACACTGACACATTACAATCACAACAATCAACAGACTTAAGTCACTGTACTTTATGTCTATATTGGTTCAACACAAAAAACCTGAGAACTGGAGAGGACAAGAAAAGTGAATTCGAGCCATGAGCAGCAGAAGACACAAAAAAAGTCTAAACACAGAGATAGTCACGCAGCAACAAAAATCAAGACTCCCACAAAACAGAAGTTGTTTTTGAAAAGCAGCAACAAAACCAAACACTACATCCAGTTTGTCAACAATATTTACTTTAAAATTCCTTCTTATTTTCTTTCTTTTTTTTTTAATATCCATGATTATGTATTGGTTCCTTAGTTTTACTCCTGCAGAGATCTCCTGGGGCTACACAGTAAAACCATGCATTAATTATAGGCAAGAAATAAGTCACAAAACAAGTTCTCTCTTGTACAGCTCCCAAGTAACACACTGCATGTCCTGCACAGCCCTCATGCAAAATATCTGTACTTACCCACACTCCCCCTTCCAGAGCAATGCACAAACAGGTCTCTGCGGAGCCAGCCTCCCACAGCCTGCCCACGTCCAGCCCAGCCTTACATGGCTGCTTCACTGAAAGGAGCCAATTTTCACAGAGCTTCTCTTCAGCATGACAAACTACCCAAGGGATCTGTCCCTAACTGCTGAGAAAGCTCAGTAGGCTTCACACTGCCAAAGGGTTGTTTAGGCAAGAGCAGGGACACCAAGGACACTTTGAACTGGAGGGGAAAATCACAGCTCATGGAAGTCAAGACAGTGCCACTGAACATGCTTGTCCATCTTAAATTGAGCAGCTGGTTGCAATAAAAGCTTGAGGGTCTCAGAGGAACCACAAAGCTGTTGAGGGCTTGCTCTTTACCTACATCTGCACGTACAAAGCACAGTATCACCTTTCAGGCATTAATCTAGGGCAACAGTCTGCTCCATCCTATCTAATCAGCCAGCATTCAGCAAAGATGACCAGCCAAAGCTACCAGCTTCATAGGCCCTTCCATGTGACTAGAGTCACATTTCTAAAAAAGCCCAAGAGAAAGATGCCTGAAAAACTGGTCCCTGCAGGTCAGCAAAGAACTTTCAGGATCGAGGTGTATGATGCTCAGTTTCGGTCCCAAATGATTTACACTCACACCAAATGGCAGACTGAAAGGATCTGCTTCTCACCTTGGAAGGCAGAGGAACACACGTATTTCAGAGGGAGCATCTCCACAGATATCCCACATATGTTGGATCTTTGGTAAGGGGCCCACTGCTTTTAGCCTGGCCCACTCTAGCTGTGCCACTGAAGACAGGCCATAACTCACTTGAGGGAAATTCAGAGCAGGTCCCTCTAAGAAACCAACAGCAGCATCCAATTCCTTATCATGACAAATTGCTTCTATCAGCAAACTCCCCAGCAGTTCCATTGCATCTCATTGATTAACTGCTCTTATATACATGGGATGAACCCATGGTATCTCCAGGGGATCAGGCAGCCCTGGCATGTGCTGTGGGACACAGCATGAGGGATACAACAGAGCTCTTCCAAAAGGCATGTGCAAGGGAAAAAAAAAACAAAACAGGTACCAGAGAAGAGAAGGGTATATAGCAGCAGATTCTGGCTGTGCGGAGGAGTGTGCAGTCCTCAGCACAGAGACAGAATCCAATGCCCACTATATGTGGTGGAACAGCTGGCTTTTGGCTCTTTCAACAGAGGTCTCTGCAGAATACAGATCAACAACGTGCTCTTCAGCACAGCCTACAAAGCACGTTTCACTGGCAGTCGCCACGCTGCATTCAATGCAGCACATGTGTGCACCTGCACGCACCGAGGTCATGCACAGACACCAAGAACTCTCCTACAGACAATGCTGAAGAAGGCAAGCAGGTTTTTTGTCTTGCTTGGCAAGAGAATACTGTATTCCTTGATAATGAATAGCCAACTCGGGGGACCTCCAACCTGAACCAGAGTTCTGAGAACAGGATTTCATGCTGGAGACTGGCCATTCAGGTAAGGCCATTTATTTCCCCTGAAGTTTTACACACACTCTTCACTCCAAGAGATAAATTTTGAAGCATTACTGTTTTGAGGCAAATGAATGTACTTTGCAGCCAAGAACTACAAGCTTTTGTTATTTATTACTGAGTCTTCACAAGGGGGGAGGGATTACGGAGAGAGTTACGGAAAGGCTGAGTGACTTGCCCAGGGTTACAAGTGAATCAGTGGCAGGGACAGAACGAGGTGCCCTGACTCAGCGGCGCCCGCTGTCAGCACAAGGCAATGCCACCCAGCTCCTGGTCTCCCTGCAGCCAGAGTTAAGTCATCCTCCATTCCTCCTGACACCAGTCAATTTCCAGTGAGTGACTGTCTGTCAGGAATTCTCCACAACACCAAGAAGAATGATGGACTTTTCAGGTAGAAGCAATTACACCCCAGACAAGACATCCCCAGAGGAAGGGGATTTGAGGCACAGGCAGGAGGAACATGGAGGAAAGCATATCCAGGCCTGTGGAATGCAGACTCCATCTGAACAGTCACCTCTGAGACACATCTTGCCTCCTCCATCTTTCAGACCATGCTGCCCTTACCTACATGCTCACACAACACCCTTTTGCGGGGCCAAGAGCAATTGCTTAGACAGAAGAACAGGTCTTTGTGTGTTGTTAGCTAGTGGTAAATGCAGGGTAGCAGTGAGAAACATGGAGGAAGAGGCAGCATGACATTTCTCCTGTCAGTTACCCGTAACAACTCCACACACCACGGTGTGGGAGAACCCATAAGCTTTCCCATACAGATTGGGTACACACCACACAAGCAAAAAAGTGTGCTTCAGAAGAGGGATCTGGGCTTCAGAAAGGATCTGAAGCACAGTAAAGATCCTAACTAAAAGGCAGACTGCAGCCGTGTATCAGATGCTCTGCATGATTCTACAGATACACCAGGTCTCCCCAAGCAGTAGTATTGTTCATAGAGTTGGCACCTTAGGCAACAAAGTTCAAGCATGCTGGCCACACCACACAGCACTCACCTTGCTGCCTATGTCTTCACGCTTGTTCCCAGGCTTGCTTCTTCTCAGCTTAATGGAAGGGGAGCGAAGCAGGTTTTTGATCCGACTCGTTATCGTAGACCCTTCAACCGACATCATCTCCAGCTGCCAAGAGGGTGTTTACCCCCCCCAAAACTGTGCCTGTGGAATGAGCCCAGGTTTGAGGCAGAAATACCAATGCACTTAGCTTTGCTTATGCTCGTTCACATATCTCTCAGCAATTCCGCTCGGGAACTCCGCTCCTGTTACACTGCAATGCTTTTCACAGAGGCTGGCAGACTTTCCTCTTGCAGATTCCAGAGGATCAAATCAGCAGTAATCTAAACTGAAAGATGCACCCGTGGGTCAATACGACATTTGCAACAAATTCTAGCCTCATTCTTTGCAAGAAATGCCAAATGCAAGTATTTATGATAAGGATGGGTGCAGCATTACTTATTCTCAGAGGCTTCTACAAAAATTATCACCCTTTTAGTACAAATGAGTATATCTAAACCAATTCTCAGATCGAAAACTGTAGCTTTTTTACACTTCAGTATCGGCTTTTATGGCAAAACCAAAATTTCCCCACCCCTGGAGTCCATTAACAGTGCCCACCCAGCCCCTCACTTTTGCTCCACACACATCCATTTCACCTCAGTCCGTGCAGTCCAGAAAGCACAAGGCTGTGCTGGATTATTAAATGCCAAGTGGCAGAAGCACCCTGAGAATAAGCACGAGGGAGTTTTTAACTCCTACAAATTCAGCTCTGCTTTAAGCACACGCACATCTGGTGCGCGGTATCTGGCAGTGAAGGCATAGAACACTTCACATCCCCGCACTCCCGGTTTGCAGAGGGCATCAAGGAGGAACTGTAACTGCTCCCGACGATTACAGAGTCCCCACCAAACCCGCACCTTTCCCGAAGCTCTGGCGGCAGACGGAGGGAAGGGGGGAAAGGAGGGATGCAGACAAAGCCTGCAGTAAATTATCCTCCCGGCTTCCGTGAAAAATGGGGGCGGGGGGAAGAGAGAGCGAGAAGGCGAGAAGGGGAAAGAGAGGAGCCGAGAGGAAGGGAGCACCGTCCAGCCCAGCGCAGCCG